GCACCTCGACACCAAACGCAGGCGCTGCATGGGCACGGCAGTGTACGGGCTCCCCTCCTGGCCAAGCACTCCAGATGCAAATGCCCGTCCCGCTGCTCCCACAATGGGTACTGAGAAGAAAAAGAGATCCTTCTGTCCCAGCGTGTGTGTCTTGCCTAAGTACACCAACACCTAGCTGTGGTACAGAGCAAACAAAAGCTCCTAACTGCATTCTTTGTCTGGCTTCTTTCCATCTCATCTCCATGTTAAATCCTGTGTTCCCAAACCCTTCCTTGGGATCCTTTTCCCTGTGCCAGTTCCTGCTCTCTACTTGTGAAGGCACATTAGGAAACCCTGGCGAGAGCCCCACACCCTCACGTAGGAAAAGACAGAACATGGCACTACTCTGCAACGACCTTGTCACTCTCGTTTGCCCTTACTGACACCGTACAGTCTGTCCATCTCCTCCCAGAGCTCTCCCACAGGGTATCCCAGTGTCAAGAGCAGAGGACACCTCCCAGGATCGAGGCCACCACCACCTGGCCCCACAAGAGGCTCCAGCACTTCTGCAGCTCAGACCTGGAGAGCAGCACCCAGCAGGACCCCAGAGTTGCCTGCACCCAGTGCTCTCCGGCACTAGGGACAGCTGCTGCAGCTCGTGGTGGCGACCACAGCCTTCGGCGTGTCACCACCATCACCGCGCACTCCGGAGCGGTGACGCTGGGCTGCTTTGCAGCCCTGCTGCAGGAACTGCCTGGGCGCTGCGCTCACTGCTGCATGTGTGTCCGCCTGCACGGCAGCGAGCCCACGGCACCAGCGTGTGCGGGCTGCTCTGCCCAGGTCCATGGTAGGAACATCAGCCATTGGTGAACTTACAGCCAGATGGATTTTCTCTGAGGACCTCATTCCTGAGCCCAAGCGAGAACGGGGAAATACTTCACAGCATTTTCTGATCACTCACCAGTTCCATTACTTCATACTCTATTTTAGGACAAGTGCTTTTTGTAATGGAAGAGAAATGTGTAAACATCACAGTGAAGACTACTGCAGCAGGTCACTGGGAACCAACAGATTTATGGTTGAGCCACAGAAGGCCCAGGAAACAGAAATTAGAATCATAGAATCCCAGAATGGTTTGGGTTGGAAGGGACCTTAAAGATCATCCAGTTCCAACCCCCCTGCCATGGCCAGGGGCGCCCTCCACTACACCAGGTTGCCCACAGCCCCATCCAACCTGGCCTGGAC